TTTTCAAACACTCAAATACTGATTAGAACCTGTCCTACCTCCATGACGACTATGTTGTTGTTCCAGCAGATATTTATATACTAAATACAGAAGTTGCATTAAAAAACATACAATTAACTATGTTTTTGTTTATTCTACATTGGCTAGAGGTATAGGGGGAGGGTTGAGATCTCACAAAACATGTTTAACCCCGCCGTATTTTTGCGCCTGTCCCAAGTCAGGTACTTCTTGCATTTGTTAGGCTTGTATGGTTTTTGTAATTTTGGTTCATCTATATGTTTCGGAGTTTAGTGCGACGTCCGTTTTCTCTGAACTAGTACACTTTTATGTTTAGGGGCCAGCTGAAGCCTGCCACCGGGTGTGGGATTTTCTCGCTGTGTTGGTGGCCTTTGGCTGTTTTCTCCTCTTTGGTCGGGTTGTTGTATCTTTGACACATTCCCGTTTCCATTCTCAATTTTAATAAAAACTATTTCAAGACGCCAAATTATAATGATGATATAAAAGATTAGAAAAAAAAGAAGTAAAATGAGTACATGTAAAATAATAATAAAAAAAATGTATAAATTTGCACTCAAGATTGCTCGAAAATACTAAAAACAAGAGTGCACACGCTGAAATGTCTCGCTTGTTTTACTTATCATTGAATTCAAGTTGAATTTTGTAATATGAAGGTTTTACCACAAGTATCACATAAACTTGACATTATCAATATTCTATAAAATGAGGTCACGGTCAAATGAACCATGCCAGACAGACATGTACACCTTACATTCATTCCATATACCAAATATAGTGGTCATATTGATAAAAGTACCTAAGAAACTGATCAAACCACAAAATCTTATCATTGACCAATGCAACATGAAAATGAGGTTAAGATCATATGAACCTTGCCAGAAAGACATGTACACCTTACGATCATTCCATACACCAAATATAATTGACCTATTGCGTATAGCATCTGATAAACTGACAAAATTAAGACAACTTATCATGGACCAATGAACAATGAGAATAGGATAACTATATTTGCTATATGGGTTCCTTGCAACGTCTTCATGTCTGTCAGGTTGGGTTCACCTGACCTCTACCTTATTCCATGGATCAGTTATCAAGGTTTAAGTTACGTGGTCAAGTCCGTATCTCAGATACTTTAAGCAATAGGTCAACTATATTCCATTCTCAATTTTATTTTATATTTGGTGTGAAAGATTATAAGGTGTGCATGTCCGACTGACAGGTTTTATCTGACCTTGACCTCAATTTCATGGTTCATTGGACAATGTTTAGTTTTTGTGGTTTTGTTTAATTCTCAGATACTATAAGCAATAGGGTTATATGTTTGGTGTATGGAATGATTGCAAGGTGTATATGTTGGTCTGGCAGGTTTCATCTGACCTTGACCTCATTTTCATGGTTCATTTGGAATTTTTTATTTTTTTGTGGTTTGGTCTATCTTTTAAGATATTATAAGCAATATTATGAAGTCAAGGTCATATGAACCCTGCCAGACAGACATGTACACCTAACAATTGTTCCATACACTAAATATAATTGACCTATTGCTTATAATATCTTAAAAAATAGACCAACCCACAAAAAACTAAAAAATTCCAAATGAACCATGAAAATGATCTTCAATTTAAGAATCTACCATTGGTGTATATAAAAACAAATACCAACAATAACAACTAGTTGGCTTTTAATGTGTTTTCTGCATATATTTCAGTCGTTCATCATCAATTTCGTCATTTGTGTCTGGGCGAAACGTTTCCGACTTTTCCTCAACGCCGTGTTTGCTTTTATAAAGTGACGTAACACCACTACTAACCGTGTATTAAAATAAACCAAGCCTACTAACCCCATATACACGGTCTCCACGCTGTCGCTTTATCAATGATATGCATATAAATATATAGGAGGCAAGATAAAAGGGTATACACAGACGTGTCGCTGGTATGGGTCACTTTAATGTGACGCCATATGTATCATCCCAATGTCAAACATAAACACTAGACGTATTTATATTTTTCGTAGCTTTTGACTGGTTTAGATATTGACAAAAAGATAACTTTGAGGCCCAAAATGTGACTTTTTTGTTTATTTTTTTGAGAAATTACTTTGAAAATTCTGAATTCAAAATGGTGGCTTTCCTTAGTTTCGTTCGGGTTGAAAGTGGAATCTAACCCTTCAAAATCTATGTCAACGTCAAATGAAAATTATCGTTTTAAACCACTTGCATTAGAATTCGACATATGTCTATGAATTTCATACATTCAGCATTTTCAAATTTGTGATTTTGAGCTGACTTATATTACAGTAGTTACTGTGCGAAACTTTCGTTTTGAAAGTGTGTTAATCTGTAATGGAGCCCAGCATCTATATTCTCTCAAAGTGTTTTTGTTTGCATATTGTATTAATTCTATAACTAACCTGAACAATTTAAAACACGTTTAAGTTAAGAAAATTTGGTACACCTGTTACAAGCTTTAACCAATATGATTTTTTATCCAACTCTATCTCGTATATATATATATATATATGTTTGATTCTGCTATTTTGGGTGGAATAATTTTCGACGTTTTTTAAGGTATTCTAATGGTTGTTTTTTTCTTCAGAGTCAGACTTGTTTGCATTGATTGATTGATTGATTGTTGGTTGCCTAACGTCCAGTGTGTTTGCATTGAAGTAATATAGTGTACAAAATACGGGCATTCAGGTAATTTGGAATTAAACAATAACCTAGATCTATATTTTGCCTTAACACGAACGGAACGTATTGGCTGAAACAAGGTCCTACTATTATTTTATGAACCATTCAACTGCATATCAAATATAAATATTAAAACAAACAATATCAGTTTTTGCTCACTTAAAAAAAACGCCGAATGCTTATTTTTATCTTTAAATCGGAAACATAACGTCCCATTTGACTATTGTTCGTGTTGTATTTGAGCAATTTAAGACATTGTCAAAACTGGACAATAAAATCAACCATTCTTATAAATATATAACATTTAAGGGAGATTGAAATATATGAAAATGAATTCTAAAGTATAATTTGCAACTCAAATGTGCAGCGTTTTATGGAAATTTTTGAATGAACAAACCCAAAACAAATGTCTGATAGTCAATATATCAATATTTAGTCTTAGGTACTTGACTTTTGTTATTATAAAAATAAGATTTGGTATGATTGCCAATGAGAAAACTCTCCACAAGAGACCAAATGACACACAAATTAACAATAGGTCACCGTACGGTCTAGAACAATGAGCAAAGCCCATACCGCATAGTCCGCTATAAAAGGCCCCGAAATAAAACTATTCAAACGAGAAAACTAACGGTTTGATTGATGTACAAAATAATGAACAGTTGTTATTGACTTTGAACTAGCTGCCAGTTACTGCGAGTAGTATCAGATCAGTACTTAGTGTCTTTTTTTTTGTTGTTCGGGATGAGGGGTGGATAAATACCCTGCTATGTCCTGTCTGTGCTTTTGTTTGATGTTTTTCGTCGTATCGATCTGATGAGTTAAGCCTTTTTCAACTGATTTTTATACTTTGTTCTTATGTTGTGATGTTGCACCACTGTCCCAGGTTATGGGAGGGTTGAACGCTCACAAACATGTTTAACCCCGCCACATTCGTTATGTGCCTGTCCCAAGTCAGTAGCCTGTAGTTCAGTGGTTGTCGCTGGTTCATATCTGTCTTATTTGTTTTTCGTAAATTGTTTTGTTATAAATTAGGCCGTTAGTTTTCTCAATTAAGTTGTTTCATTTTTTCCTGTCGGGGCCTTTATAACCGACTATTCGGTATTGGTTTTTCTTATTGTTGAAGGCCGTACGGTTGCCTGTAATTGTTTAAATCCACTTCATTTGAACTTTTCTGGATAGTTGTCTTATTGGCAATCATACCACATCTCCTTATTTTTATATAGAACATAAAAAGTAAATTCCCTTACGTATAAGAATGTTATTTTTTTATCATTTTTATCAGTCATATCAATCACGTCTATATATCATCCTTTTTCATTAAATTGTAGATTATAGATACCAGAATATTCGTCTGAGCAAGCATACAGGTGAGGCATGCATAGCAGGAGACCCTAACCCTGTCGACACACACGGTCTCACTTATTTTGGAGTTCATACAATTCATCAGTTTTTGTTTGTTACCTTGAATTACAGCTTCCTAATCAATGTATGCGATTTGAACATCAGTAAACTGCTGTTGTCTACTTTTATTGTTTCATATCAAAGCAACATCTTTAATTGCAACTGTTGAAACAGAACAAAAGAATAATGTAAGAAACAATGTCGCTCTAAAACCACAAACAAATATAATTACATAGTAGTTCTCGAACGAAAGCACACTAGTAAGTACAAATCACAACATTTTATAAAAATAGCAAAAATTTGCATTTGATATGTCTTGTTAACAAACAAAACACAACATTAAATATTCACTATTTGCAATAACAATTTCTTGATCATTATTATGTACATGTGAAACTTCTTCAATTTAATCTGATGACGATTTTTCCAAAAATGTTTCTGGATAGCAATAAAAATATGAAACTTAAACCTTCAATACTAGACATGTTAAGACAAAATTGGTCATGGGCAATTCATTGCAGTTCTCTTTTCTTTTTCTAAGTTTTACCTATGATATAATCGCTTTTGTCGTGTACACTAACATACACGTTTCCACTACTACTGCACCAGATGCGCATTTCGGCGTGAGGTCAAAATAGCTGAGTTTTTAAAGCTGTCAGGAATAGTTTACCTGTTTTGGGCTATTCATTAAAAGTAAGCTTTGAGGTAAAAGCGCATCAAATTTATAAAGTTTTACTTTCCATTCTCATTCTTCGAAGTCTGTTCAAAATAGGTTACAAAACCTAGAAATGTTATTGAAATCTCTCTTCTGTACCTCTATTCTAAAAAAGTATCTATGTTTCTTCATGAAATCAACAACCAATCAGGTAATAATTGCCTACGTCTATAAATTAATGGAATAAACATGAAAAGGGGATGGTAGAATATCTGTACAGGTATCAATATCTTCCGTGTTGTCCAGTAATATCTTTACTACCTCTATATGAGTTTTACAACAAGCAGTATACAAACATGACAAAGGAGATACACCATCACCTCTACACTTATTAATGTCTGCCTTGTTGTCCAATAATAGCTTTACTGTCTCTATATGGTTATTCTGACAGGCAATATACAAGGGAGATGACCCCTCATATAGACACTTATTAATGTCTGCTTTGTTTTCCAGTAATACCTTTACTACCTCTATATGATTATCCTCACAAGCAATATACAACGGAGTTGCACCATCATTTGTATCCTTATTAATGTCTGCCTTGTTATACAGTAATACCTGTACAATCTCTATATAGTTTTTCTCACAAGCAATACACAATGGAGATGTCCCATTATCCCCGCACTTATTAATATCAGCCTTTTTGTCTAATAATAACTTTACTACCTGTATATTCTTCTTCTCACAAGCAATATACAAAGGAGATTTTTCAGTATCCGAACACTTATTAAGGTCTGCCTTGTTGTCAATTAATAGTTTTACTATCTCTATATTATTATTCTGACAGGCAATAAACAAAGGAGATGACAGCTCATATACACACTTATTAATGTCTGCTTTGTTTTCCAGTAATACCTTTACTACCTCTAAATGATTATCCTGACAGGCAATATACAACGGAGTTGCTCCATCATTTGTACCCTTATTAATGTCTGCATTGTTATCCACTAATACCTGTACTATTTTAATATAGTTATTCCCACAAGCATAATACAAAGCAGATGACCCATTATCCATACACTTATTAATATCTGCCTTGTTTTCAAGTAAAAGCTTTACTACCTCCATATGATTACCCTCACATGCACTATGCAAAGGAGATGCTCCATTTTCTGTGCACTTATATTTACTTATATTTATGTCTGCCTTGTTTTCCAGTAATATCTTTACTATATTTATATGATTCATCCAAGAGGCAATTACCAAAGGAGATGATCCATCATGTTTACACTTATTAATATCTGCTTTGTTAGCCAGTAATACCTTTACTAACTCTATGTGATTATTCTGACAAGCAAAAAGCAAAGGAGATGCTCCATTTTCTGTACACTTATCAATGTCTGCCTTGTTTTCCAGTAATAACTTTACTATATGTATATGATTCATCAATGAAGCAATAACCAATGAAGATGATCCATCATCTGAACACTTATTAATGTCTGCCTGGTTTTCCAGTAATACCTTTACCACCTTTATTTGATTTTTCTCACAAGAAATTAACAAAGGTGATGCACCTTTATTTGTACATTTATCAATGTCTGCCTTGTTGGCAAGTAATAGTTTTTCCATCTCTTTATGACCCGAATATGCTGATCCATGTAATGGACTAACATCAACACCATGATAAAAACACCATTGAATCCAAGGAATGTCTTTATACTGACAACACTGTAACAGTACAGTATCTTTGAAATTAACATCACAGGTTAGTGCTAATCGTCTCTGGAGTAAAATATCAAATGTTTTTAAATAACAAAGGAATTTCTGTCTGAACTCTGGTATCTTCATATTAATATTATTAAACACACACTGCAATTGACCAGCAGACCAGTCATCAAACATTCTATGTATGTAAATCTCATGGTATTTAGGTGGTACAACAGTGATATACTGGTTCGTGTTATCTTGTTTATCTAAAGAAAATCTCTGCCCAATAACCCAACTGTCTGCATTCTTGATTAAACATTGGATAATTTTTTTTCCAAAATAGAAAGTCAGGAAATCAAAAACTTTACCATGTATAGTTTTATTTACATCTTGCTCTTTCTTTACAAAGGTATATTCTAGCGACTGCAGTTCATCAAGTATGAAAAGTGATGAAGTACATCTGTTCAGTTTACATGCTTGACATGTGTTCTCTATTATTGGTCTTACTTCATGGACCTCATCTATCAACAATTCCTCTTTCAATGTGTTATTAAAAATGACACACATAGCTAAAGCGCAATATTTCCCCAAATGTCCTTTTTTAAGCAACTTGTCAATCTCTTCTTCATACACTGAAAACGGATTCTTGAAGAAATCTGTAATACTCAGTTTAGGATTTTCGCTATACAATTTACAGAGAAGTGGAAAACAATCATATAAATCACAATACTGTATTATTTCTGAAGCTTTTGTTTCTAAATATAATTCTGCAATTGACTGATTTTCGGTTTGTGATAAACAGAATTCATCTGATAGCAGGTTACATACACATGTCCTAAAAATTGATAAGGATTCAAACTTGTCATCCTGATAAACTTGTAACCGACAGGCCACAACGATTTTTGTGAGTTTATTCTTAATCAGTACTTTAATACGTTCCATGTCCAATTCCAGACTGTTAAGGTTATACTGGCTGATGGAATAAGTACCACAAAAGTCATCAATCACAAACAATGTTTTCAGATTTAGATTGTAAAATTTTATAATGTCATGTGGATCCGTGTGGAACATTGTACCCTTTATCTATCATTTTTAATGCCAAATTTCGTAGAGTTGCTGTCTTCCCAACACCAGAACTACCAGTAATAGTTACACAACTGTTTTCCTGTACACATTCCAGTACATAATTGGCAGCTCTGGTCTCAACAAAGTTTGAATTATTTATTTTCCATTCTTCCAATACTTGACTGATTTGTACTGAAATATATATATATTCTTACAATAATTCTATGCTATATGTACCTTGAAATCATGTGATTTTATGCACTGGTGATCGTAAACTGTTATTTTATCAAATGAAATAGTTTTATCACTAAATAAGTTTTTGACAATAAATACAGACAGGATATGCAAAAGGGGCAATAAAAAGCCATAAGTCGGGGAACATGGACACTCCATGGCCAATACTAAACACAAAAGAAAAAAGCAAAAATAACAAAATAAAACACTACACAGAAAACTAAGTTTGAACAACAACAGAAACAATCTTCTACAACAATACGAACAGCAACAATACCCACATTAACTCCAGAAGGATAAGCAATTCTTTCTGGAGCCATTAGCAGCATCAGTGTTGTTGATCATGGCAACTTAAAATTAGTGATGTCACCATCAAGGAAAACACTTAAACAGGAGTTAATTGTGGCTACAAGTGGAACAGGTCAATGGTTTTAAAGACTTTATTGAAGTTCTTTTTGCTGAATCTATAGTTTTCTTTTTTTTTTTTTGCTTGGTAGACTACCGTTTTTTTTATTTTTGCCATGGTGTTATCGATCTTTCTTATAGTCTTGTATATGTTACAGTAAATATATAGGTGAAATTAGGAATTACACGTAATTACTAAATAATTCAGTAATAATATAACCTGTAATTAATAATCAATTTGGTAATTACATGTATTTACTGATTGTTTCAGTGATTACAGGTTATCACGGATTTTTTTTGTCATTTTTACAGCTATTTACTAACTTGACATTTTTGTTTCAATATTTTAGACATAATTCAAGAAGCCAAATAAGAAAGTAAAGGGGAAGGGATTGTAGGTCTTACTTTCTTATTTGGTTAAGGTATCAAAGGTCCTTCAAGAGAGCATGCTCGTTGTTTACAGTTTGTGTATTGAAACTGGAAAATGTTTGCTTTTATAATTTTTGAAACTCGCTGAAAATCATTTGCAACATGCAAGACAATGATATAAAACCATGTAACGGCAATGTTTAATTCACATATTATCTCAACCAAACATGCATATTGTCACCAATTAACGTAAAAGAATGCCTATTTACACAATGAATCCAAATTGCTTATGCCATGACAAACTGTTGTGACATCTTGAGTTACACAAAACGAATCCTTGCCCATCTCCGACTGACTGTAGACGCGCTGCTTCCTTAGCACTTAACTCGACCTGGTTATTTGCATCTTGCAAAGCAAACAAAGTGAATTGATTCCTATAGAAAGATCCATTTAAAATTCAATCCTTTGAGCAGAGTTTTGAATTGGTTATTTGTCTGATTGTGTTTCAAAACTTAACACAAAAGATATTATTGGTTTTGACTTCCCCTTTGCTTTCCTCCTTAGTCTTTTATTGCTACTATCTTTATGGAGTTAAAATGTGCTCCTAGTATTGGCAAAAAAAAATTTAAATTGATTCCCACAGTGCTGAAATTACAACTTAATCTTCAGAATAGTTAAATATTAAACAATGTAGAGAAAAGGTTCCCAGGAGACTGCGCAACAACCACCATCATTTAACATTATCTGTACAAGACAAATCTTCAAAAATGTGTCTCAAAGGCAACAACTCTTCAAGGAGTAAAATGACAATTTGAGTCCTTTTATTTGTGATGTAGCCAAAGCAATAAAAACATACTTAATGGGCAGCAACTCTTCTAAAGAGTCTTCAAACATCAAATATACTTTAAGTATTGTCAATTTATACAGATGATAATCAGTCAAGGGAATCACTAAAACTTTTTTTTTTTCAATAACTGGTTTAAGTTGTTTCAGTCAGAGACTTATTTTATATTATAATTATTTTGGGTTATATTTGACAAAATTTCTGAAATAGTCAATATTTGACTTCAATTTTCTCAGTAACTAAACCTAGAGTTTATGAATGGGAACTGACACTTAACCTCTCTGAATTACCTAAAATTGTCCATGCACATTGTTAACATTTAGTGCAAAGCTACTAAAACTGACAAAATAGCCTCCACTTGAGATACTGTCATTTATATTCAATATGAGCACGAGCTTTACGCAAACATATATTTTGCTACAAAATGTATTTTAAAACGATGTTAAAGTGTGTAAAATGTATATTAGCTAATAAGCTTTTGCTAATATAAATTTTGTCTGAAAACTATGCATCAAATTTCAATTTTAGGTAAAATATGTAAATTTTGACATGTTTATGACATCATAATGAAATAACCTTTATGCACTTAAATTTTCAGTAAATACTTACAACTATGTAGCTGGCTTTTAACTCATTATACATGAGATACTGGTTTTTGGACATTGGTATAAATTAGAAGGCGAGATGAGATAAAGGTGAAGTGATTTCTGTCAACTCAAACCAATACACAACCACATATAGACAAGAATTTAACAAAAAAATTTAAAGTTTTACTTTGTATTTTAAAATTTATTGATGTTCAGTCTGATGATTTTTGTTGTTACATCATTTCATCCAAGGAATCTAAATTTACGTCTTGACCTCTCATGTTTTAAGGTTCTGGTGATTGGTCTAAAGTTTTGGTCTCTACCTCTTGTTTTCAAGGTACAATGCATTTGTTAAAGATTTTGGTCATATTTGTTTTTTTCCTATGTTCTTTAATTGGCTTAAGTATTTCAACCTCACCTCTTATGTGCCACGGTACTGTTGACTGCTCCATAATTTTTGTCCTCATCTCTTTACATTCATCAAGCATATTTTGACTACCAAGTCTTCCAACAGCCTGTAAATATTCAAATGGTCAGTTACATGTTACAATGACCATATAAGTGAGAGGTTAATCTAGCTATAAAACCAGCTTTAATCCACCATTTTCTACATAAGGAAATCATTGACCTACCACTAGTTGATCCCCATAAACTGACCTAATCACAAACTAATACATGTAAACTAAGCAAAACTAATACATGTAAACTAAGCAAAACTAATACATGTAAACTAAGCAAAAGTTTTAAAGTCAATTGACCATGACTGAGGGGGCAGGGCCAAATAATCTCCATGAAAATGATTTTAGCAAATGGTAATGCAACTGCATACCAAATATCATTGACCTACCACAAGTGGTTCCCCATAAACTGACCTAATCACAAACTAATACATTGTTGACGCCCACGCCCATGCTGGAAACAGCATACCTTTGTCAGGCTCTTTGACTCTGTCAAGGCGAGACAAAAACACAAATCTTGAAGATAGTTCTAGAAGTTCACATCATAATGAACATAATTGTATTTTAAGTTTGAATTAGATATGACCACAACTTCATGGTAAACTATAGTTATTACTTAAAACCAAAACTCTCACCTTATATGAAACAGACAAACAGACGTTAAAATTGATTGCAAAAATGAAAAAAGGTAGAAAATGGACAGAAACACAAATGGGTCTTCGTTTCTATTGTAAATGGTGCTTAAAAACATTATACTAGTAGTCTTTTTCCAATGTCAGCAAGGGTCCAACTTGCACATTATAGGTTGCACTTTGTAAATACAGCTGTTTAACAAACCACATCTCTTTTGGGGAGATATATAATATGCATAGATATTTTGTTTTGTTTACCTACTGGTTCCTGGATATGATCTCTAGGTTTCAACACATACCGGTATATTCGTTATGACATCATCTATAGTAGGTTAATTTAACCTGTTTTGAATGCATTTTCTTATCATTGAAATAAACATAAATGAAATTTCGGCAATGTAAAGTGCAAATTTCAGTCAAATATTAAACAGGATAAGAACCTTTATTACACCCTTTCAGACTGTCCCACTGTGATTGGTTGATTATTCTACACCTACCATTAAGTGAAAACAGAAGGTCCCACTGTGATTGGTTGATTATTCTAGACCAACCATTACGTGGAAACAGAAGGTCCCACTGTGACTGGTTGATTATTCTACAC